GAAAAAGGGTAAGGCCAGAGGCTCGAATAACACTGTGAAAACAACTTCGACTAACCGGCACTTCCAGAACTCTCTACCTGCGTGCATCCTTTTAAAGAGAACATGGAGCTTAACCGAGACAGGCCATATTACAGGTAATAAAACACGTCTCCAAAAACGTACAAGTTATGTTCTTCACTCATAAGGAATTAAACTAAAAATCACAACAGAAAGACAGCTGGAAAATCTGCAAATGTACAAACTAAAGAACATACTTCTGAATAACACATCGGTCAGAAAAGAAACGAGAAGGAATTCGAGAGTATTTTCAAATAAATGAAAAGGAAATTACAGCACATTAAGTACAATTAAAAATTGTAATGTGCGGCCAAATTAGTGATTAGAAGGAAATTTAAAACATTAACATTTATATTAGAAAAGAAAAAAGTCCCAAATTTATCACCGAAGCTTCCACCTTAAGGAACAAGATTTTTAAAAAAGACCAAGTTAAACCCAAAGGAAATGAAGGATAAGAAACAAAGTGAAGAAAAGAAATTAATAATAGATTAGAAAAACTCAATAAAACTAAATCTTGTTTCTTTGAGAATACAAATAAAATTGATAAACTTCTATCTAGCTAGATTAATCATTAAAAAGAGAGGAAAAACCATTTTACAACTTAGATGGAACAGATAAATTCCTTAAAAAATACAACCTACCAAATCTTATGAAGAAACAGGTGACCTGAATATCCCAACGTCTATTAAAGAAATTGAATTTGTAGTTAAAATCCTTCCCACAAAGAAAAGTACAGGCCCACATCATGTCAAATGAATCTTTCTTCCTGGGGTCCACAAAAGTATGTAAGAAAATAAGGTGGAATCAATCAGATATTTGACAAAACTCATAATATCAGCAATATGAATGTAGGCATTTGCCTAGAACTTTATAATTTTCAGAAACAATATCATGCATCTTTTCTATCTCGAAAGAACATTTGATGTAGTTTTTTCCTTCTGTCTATAATACTAGTTCAAGCTTGTAGAACTCACAAGGAGGAAAATCACAGCATGTATCATAGGAGGGACCTTGAACGTATAGAAGTGGCCCAGGGTCTCGGATTTATGACTTGCCGAGACGGTGTGACAGCCCTGCAGTTTGGGAGTTTAGGTCCCATGATGTCTCTACAAATAAAAGCCAAGTCTGCAACTCACAGCCTTTCCACAATCATGCAACACAGAAGACCTCACACCAGGAAGCCGACGTGTGCCTCCTGTGTCATTTCAAACTATTTATCCCAACCCATTTTTCAATGGACACTTATACCAATTTGTAAGGGACCTCACCTAAAGGTTCTGGCCCTCCATCTGCGCATCTAGGTTCATAGTCAGTTCCCACACCACAAAGCAGCTGGGGATGGGGGATGCTGAGCGAGAGACAGGCTGAAGTAGAAACCCTGTGAGGGCTGCTGAGGTTTACATGGGCACCTGTGACAGAGCCAAGTCCAAGGTCATTCCCACATGTGACGTTCAAAGTCAACACTACACAACCCTGCTGTCATTTCCAATTGCATTGCTTTTGGGACTAAATTCTAAAAGCCGAGGAAAGAGCTGCTTTGGTATGAAGGTAAATTGGAGAACTTCAATGCCTCATCGGTTCTCCGCTTCTCCCGTTGCAAAGCTGCTCTGCTTTGTGCTCCTTTTCAGCTGCTTCTTCCTCCATCTCTCAGGAATTATTTCCACTTGTCTGGGGGTGGCCTTTCAGTCCCCTGAGATGCCAGACACCTGCAGGGTAGTGTGACCAGTGAAGGAACCTCTGTCTCTGCCGACACAGCCCCAAGGCCCCTCTGTCCTCTCTGCTCTCCTGCTGCCCAGCTCGGGGTGTGGCTGTCACCCTTCTCTCTTCCACCTGAGCTGCCCACAGTCAGAAGACCTTTGACCCTATGCCTCCGGCCATCCTGAGCGCTGGTCTACAGCTGTGTGTGCTGCCTTTGCCTTGGGTCAGTCAGAGTGAAAGCTCCAGAGGGCCGGGAGGGCGGTGACGGTCTCACTCACTCACTGCAGGGCCCTCGGCCCCCAGCGTGGGCCTGGCACACACCAGGAACACTGACCAGTGACTGTTGAATGATGGCAGAACCAACTTCCTTCATTCAGTTTATCAGCAAACAGATCTGGATGGTCCACCGTGTGCTTTCACAGGGTTAAGAAGGGTGCAGTGGTGTGGTCCAGTGAAGGATCCCAGAGGTCAGTGAGGAGGCAGCCAGTGGATGATGCCACCCAGCGTGGTCACCAGCTACTGGGCTGCTGACAAGATGCAGTGGTTACATCAGCCAAGAACCCACTGCCCCGGAATCACAGCAGCTACAGGCTGACCCTGAGCTGAGTCTTGATTGACAGACAGGAGTTGGCCAAACGGACCAGCAGAGATGGTGAATGGGGGGTCATTGCGGACACCAGGCACAGCGTTTTGAAGGCACAGGTGCTTGACTGTTTTGAGTTCTGGCTACTAACACCTCACTTAGCCAGCAAGTGTTACTGCAGATCTGATATTTCAGGGAGACAGAGGGCGAGAGGCATCTCCCTGCCCTCTCCCCCTCATCTTTGAGATTTCATATCCAGTAAGTTTGTCCCATGGAATCGCAACAAGTGCTGGTCTAAAATCATGAAAACCCATCAGTGCGTTGCTAAGGGACCCCACGCGGCTGTCTAATTAGCAGCATGTTTCCAAATCTTCTTGAGTCAAGTCACACTCGTCCTCTGGATTTTTCTAGTCTGGCTCTAAACGAAACCATACCCAGTCAACCCCTTGCACCCATTAAGGCGAAAACGCAGGCAAGCAACAACTTGCTACGAGTCCAGCTTATTTCTCTGCACTCACTGCTAAATCCATGTGCTGTTCACAGGGTTAAGAAGGGTGCAGATGAGGGAACACGGCCGTCACCCTCCTGTAGCAGGCCTTGTGACGGTGGCACACATTTTACTGAGAAACTTCCTCCAAAGAAAATATGATACTCTCACTTTCCCTTGAAAACACCAAAGGAAAAAATCCTAACCTACAGCTACGTTCTGAACTCTGTGCAGAATGTAATGGCTCTCACGCACAAGGGAGTTCAGGCTGCTGGAAGGTGCTAACTGCTGTTGAATCAAGGACCGTGGGGACAGATGAGTGTCCTGGAACCATGAGGGGGAACGGACACGTAGCACGACGACCTTGCCGTTTGTCGAGCGCACCCCTGCAATTCAGGGCACGCCCCCACACGGAGCGGCGTTTCTCCAGGAACGACTGTAGAAGTGACAGCAACGGTAGCATCAACAGCAGGATTTTTAATCGATACTAACACATTTTAAGTCCTTATTTTGTAACGGGCATCGTCTAAGCACTTCACACCTGTTAACTCTACGGATCACTGGCAAAATTCCTGTGTTTAGGTGAAAACTCCTACCTAGTTGCCAACATTGATAAGGATTTAGTAATGTCCTCAAAAGACAGATGCTGTGACCCAGGCTGTCACAGTCTGCCGGGCTGAGCTTTTGTCGCGTGAAGGCAAACAGACCAAGGGCTGTGCGTATCATTGAGCTTAAGCCTTGTGTTTAACCAGAGCCTCTTACGCAAAATGCTGTCAGAATTTTTTTCAGAGAAAAAGAATTAGAAGTGTCAGTCTGGCTACACCATTAACTTTATGATTAATCTGTGAAGAAATACTGTGCAATTAAGTCTCATCTTGCATGGTCACAGCGAAGAACTGTCTGATGCCAGAAGTGTTGTGAGCAGAACTTGAAGCCATAGAAACCTAGGAAGTTTCCAGGCCTTTTTAAGCTAGGTTTGTCATATCCTGTTGGAGGGAATATGACATCTTTTATGAATACGTAGCATGCTTATTCTTGGCTTATATTCTAAGATTTACAATAAAGCCCAGCTTTAGTTTTATGCGTCTAAAAGTGAAGTTAAAAAAGTTGGATGTTCAGAAATTAGCATGCAATTCATACGTACAGAAGTACCATCACGCATCTTCAATTTGATGTGGTTTTTAAAGATACTGGGCAGTCTGCTTTGCAGTCATCAGGTAAAGGAATCCGTGGTGATGACACTGCCCAGGGTGGAGCTTAGTGCCTGACGGTTGTCAAAGTGGGTCCGAGTTGAGGCCCATGGGGGACTCAGGAAGGCGTGGCGTGACGTGAGCGAGCCCACCTTCTCCCTCGGCCGTCAGAGCTGGCGCAGCCCCCACGGCCAGACTGCAGGCTAAAATCCTTCCTGACCAGATGCCCCTTCCTTTTCTAACCCATTAACGCAGACCTGAAACGCCCCGTCGGTGACCTCTGCTCACCCTCAGCCGTTCCGGGGCAGCGCACGATGCTAAACCATGAAGAGCATTCCTGAACGTGACTAACGGCGAAGGCCAGGCAGTCGAATGCTCGGTGGTCCGTGTTCCAGCCCCCGAAATACCATCGCTCTGAACAAATTCTTCACGCGCGATGTGGCTGGCCCACGGGGACACTGCGGGAGCTTCTTGAAGCTCACAGACTGGGTCATAGGAACTGCCTCGGGCCTGACTGCTAATACGCTGCTGTTGAACAAATGTCTGCACGTCATCGAATCTGGACTGTGGTCTGTCCTGTCATCTGCTGACTGACACTTCCCTGCAGCGAAGTATCTAGCAGCACCTAAGGGAATTAACCAGGTGTGCGTAAACGAGACGGCTCGGGGCCGGTTCCAGAACTGCCGTGACTCTGACTGTCATTTTCAGGTCACATGTTTACAGACACTATCGCTCGGTGAACACAAGTTCTTGACTGTTACATCTTTCTGTTATAGGTATAAATTAGAAATATTTGTCCATTTTAACATTTCACCATAAGTCTATTTGGGCTGATATATGAAACGTGTAAATTACGTATACAACGTAGTATTTGCCTGGTCTGTTTACTTGTGCCTTTTGTTTTTTTAGATGTCTCTATTGTAAAAACATACGAACTATGAGATTCGAGGACAATGTGATAAACAGCCACGAAGCCTTATCAAACTGTGAGATTATATTTCCTTCAGAGTTTTATTATTCAAAAAGATCAGAAGCCTTTGACACGCAGTTTTAAATGCCAAATTCAAATAAACACCCAATATATACTAGAGCCTAGCAGAAAAGTTATCAAACCCTCTTACATTTTCTTTTGTTTTGATAACTTTTAAGAGAATTTGTCACTGAGAACTGTCTTTCTCTTTCCAGTTGCTGTGACAGGTCAGAAACTCATTTCTCACGGTTCTGGAGGCTGGGGTTCCGAGGCCAGGCGGTGTCTGGTAAAGGCCTCTTCCAGGCTGCGGGCTGCGGGCTGCAGGCTGCTGGCTGTGTCCTCACCGGGCAGGGGGAGCAAGGGCTCCATGGTCATGACCTAATTACCTGCCGAGGCCCCGCCTTCTGATGTCATCAAAGCGGGGTGGGGGGGGGACTGAACATATGAATTTGGGGAATATAAGTATTCAGACCATAGTAGGAATTCAAAAATACAAGGATATTAATTTAATTAGGCATTTTAAGCCTAGAATACAGTCTGAGTATTATCATGGGGGTGAGATAAACTATATAGAAATACTAAAAAATATGCCGAAAGGAGAAATGAAAAGACTGGGGGGCGGGGCGGGGAGCGGGGGAGAGAAAACCATGGAGCTGCACTAAAACCTGTGTTTGTTCGCAGCTGAGCAGTGGACGCAAATTCCCCTAAATCCCGGAACTGTGATGCTAAACGCAACTGTGATGAGTAAATCATATGCCCAAATGAATTTCAAAATATATTTCACATTTCTACCATCAAAAAAATAATCCCTATAAGCATTACCTTAAAATATTTTTTATCAGAAAAATAGTTTTGGTAATAATTAATCATTTGATAAAGTTACATAAACAGATATGCTATACATGTGTAATTTTAATACATAAATATGAATATTCTTTAGGGTATATTTCATATAAGAATAATTTTTTTACATTATTAAAAACTGGCAACATGAGTTCACCAGGTTTCACTCTGCCTGGGTTAACTAGCGCCCAGCCCAGTATCGAGAAGCCTCCACACGGACAGACTCCCATGAGCTGGCTGCGGTCTCGGTGAGGTCCCCAGCACGCAGAGGCGGCCTCTGGAGGGGCTGGCGCAGGAGTGAGGGCTGCTCCCCGCTCAGGGCCTGCAGCGACGGGCGGCTCAGGGAGGGGCGGCTTGGGCAAAAAAAAAAATTAATTCTCTTTATTTTCTAATTTTATGACCAGATATCCTGAAGATAGCGCCTTTCTTCTTTTAAAGTAGCCAACGTTTTCATCGCTTCTAGTTTATTAACTCCAGCCTCTTGGCTTATTATTTCCACAAGGGCATCATTTACATCCTTGGCCATGTTCTTAGCATCTCTAGAAAAAAAGAAACATTGCACCAGTGCTTAAGAAACCAACTTTGACCAAATCCTCTTTAATTCACGAATCTAATTCTCACTGACTCCACTGCCACTACACCTCAGTCCTCCCTCCATTTCTCTGGGAAGTGTCCCAACAGGTGTCCCAGCCCCCGCCCCGGCACCAGGCCCTCACCCGGTGACCAATCAAACAGGCACGGCTGACCGCACAGGCAGCAGCTTAAAACTCTCCAGAGTGCCACGTCCCAGGCGTGGCCTACATCTCAGGTGTCCAGGGACCTTCCCGTCTGGGCCCCCTGCCCTCCCTCAGGGCGCCCGGTGGGGCGGCCATTTCCGAGGGCTATGAGCTCCATCCCATGTCTAAGTGTGCACGGGCCCCCCGGGCATGTGGGTGGGGACACGCGCAGTAGCAGACGCGTTCCCTGAGGACTCGCACGCGCCTGGCCCTTTCCCGAGCGCTTGCAGGAAAGGCGCAGTGCCCTCTTGGTGCCTGTGCTGTCCCCTGGCGTCCCCTGCACAGCACGAGCCACACGGTGGGTGTCTGCGCTGTGGGCCCCCCCAGGGAGCCCGCTGCTGGGGGCCCCGCGACCTCACTCATCTTTCCATTCTCAATATCCCAGCAGTGTGAAGCAGTCACCGGGCACCGGATGTGTGCTGAAGGGACCCAGTGCCAGCCGGGACCCGGACACGCCTGGACCTGACCCTGTCCTGCCCCTCGCAGGAAAGTCTCTGAGAAGCTGTCTGCTGTGGCCGCCTCCGCTTTCACATCCTGCTCCCCTCCACTGCTCCAGCAGGGCCACCCCCGTGACCCCACGTCACCACCAGTGGCTGCCAGCTGCCATCTATACTGTAGGTCCCGTCTTCTCTTGAAGCCCGGCCCTCAGGACAGCGTGCCCTGGCTTAGGGACAAGCTCGCTCCTCCTGTGGCCGCTCCTTCCGCATGTCCCCCGTGTGACCTTGCTTCCCTGGCCCAGGAGGACGGCCACCATGGGGTTTCAGCCCTCGCCCTCGCTGCTGGGCCCTGAACTGAGCCTGCCGCGTCCCTCTCAGACGGAGGCAGAGCAGCAGTGGCCGTGAAGGGCCACCTCCGGGTTAGCGCTGCGGGGGTGTAGACGTGAAGACGCTCCCCGCTCTGCAGTAGCAGCTCTCCACGCATCTGCACGACGGACTCAGCCTCTGCCATTCAGACGCGCACCTAAAACCGTGCCTGACCGCCAGCGGCACTGCCCTCCAGAGGACGATGGCATACTCCGTTACTCTGCGAGGGGCTGAATGTCAATGCAAAGCCACACGACGTGCGGCCTCTCTACCCCTCCCCAGCCTAAAGCAGTGTTTTCCAACTGAGTCAAAATCCATTAACGGGTCAGGAACTCGACTTGGCGGCTAAAGCTGGCCTTCAAAATTACATAAATTGAAAGAGAAGTTATCAGAATGTGTCATAAAAGTAAATTTAAAAAGTCTCGTTCTATTAATTGAAACTTGTTTCAGTTACATTTACATGTATTCTAGGGCACTGTGTTGGTATTTCTACAAAAACACAAAGCCGACTTGTTTACTTAGAGAAGGTGTAAAGTGCCAGGGATGGGTTAGGAGAAAAAAAGTAATTTCTTACTTCAAAACTTCTTTTTTAGCAGAGTTTTTTTTTTTGAGTCCCATTAAAACAAGTAGATATACTTCTAAACTTTGTGTTTTCTATAGCTTCTTTGGGTTTCTGTAACAGATCTTGCGTCAGAAAGTAGAAAAAATTAACGTAAGAACGACCCTTGGCTTAGGCCCACTCTGACCTTGCGCCCCGAAGAGGAAGGACGCCAGCGCCCACACTCGCCAGGGCCAAAGCAGGCTTTTCCCCTAGTTGGCCCAGTGAACCGCACGAATCCCATTCTTGGCTACAACGAAATCAGTACTGAGACTTCAGGCGCGGCCGCATCCACCGCCGCGCCCTGCGCACTGCCTGCGTTCGGGCGCGGGCCCCGGAC